GAGATGGATTTTCAGTTCTTCTGTATTCTGGTTGGGATCATGGAACCAGGTGATTTAAACAAAACTTGGGAGAGATGAAATCTTTATTCCTAGGTCCATGTGTTACTAGTGACCAGCATCTGTAGATTGTACAGCTGTGCACAGCCCTTATGGGAAGGGTGCAGGCTAGAGTTCAGGGCTCCATCTCGGAGACAGAGAGGGTATCTTTCCAGAAGTCAGGAGGACTCCACCCAGGAGTCATAGTTGAGCCAGATGACATGTGTGCTAGAGGCACACGAGAGACAGCTGGGAAGTCTGAGAGTGCCAGTGCCATATGAGGTATGTGTGTAAGGCCCCTTTTACACGGCCGCTCCATCCGGGTCAGCCTGTCAGTTTTTCAGGCGGTCCCGATCGGATGCTTAATGTAAGTCTATGGGCAGCCGCGTGTAAACAGACGGGTGTCCCTTTACACCTGGTTACCCCCACCTCCTGGTCAGGAAAAATGAACGGTGTTCCATTTTGCCGGACCAAATCGTTACGGATCAGGGGTAATCTGATGTAAACAGACACATTTCTGTTTACATCCAATTCCCCATAGACTGGCATGAGGTCCAGTAATTACAGTTTTTTGAAGGAAAAAAACTGTACGGGTACGCATGCCACACCAGTGACATCCGCTCCGTACTGCTGTGATCAGGAGGGGATCCTTCCGCAGATCCTCTACTGGTCAGCCAGTGTGAAAGGGGCCTAAGAGTCACACAAGAGGTGTGGAAAGCCGCTGGGAGCTGCTAAAACTATACAGAGCATTGCTGTGGACCATAGCTCTGTGTGGAAGTACCTCAAAACCCTGCAATAAGAACATCTTGTCTATGTGACACAACATTTCGTCGGTGAAACTATTTATGTTACTTTGCTAAAAGACAAGCGGACTTTGTGTATCGTTTTGTTGATGAAAAGCTCTTTCTGGTTGTGGAAGAAAAAAAGGCCATCCTTTCATGTTAAATCGGCTCTGAGAGTGGTCCCTAAGCTCTCACCATTGTGCTAATATCCCAGAAATATCACACAATGTATAGCCAACTAAAGTAAGTAGGTATATAGGTTTGAAGGTAAGTGGTATTTTACCCATGTCTTTGGAATTATGGACATAGTGTCCAATAGTTGCTCAGTCATTTTTTCCCTGTCCAGGTCATATGCATTTTAACATCAGTGAATTGTGGCAACTAGCATTTTCAAAAGGTCAGCAATGAAAGTCCCCATGTTTCTCTTAGAGTTAAGTTTGCCACATGTGTTCTGATTGTTAGAAATGATGCTTGAATTTGAATCATAACTTACTTTTATTGAGCCTGTATGGATAGACATCGTCCTCCGATGACCCAAAGCTCAGTACATAGCGGGCTATTGCCCGCTATATGCCGAGAGCGCCGCAGCCGGGACGGAACCCAACAATACTGTCGAGATCCACCCCGCTAGCTGATTGACAGCTTGCTCTGCCTATCCAAATGCAGAGCCAGCTATGCCCACCCCTCCCCCCGTCCGTTCCCCCCAATCAGCTCTGGAGGATCGAAGAGTGGAGGGGGAAGCCATGTGGGAAGCGGTGAGTGACAGTCACCGCTCTCTGCAGGGAGATGATCGAGAAGTGAGCGAGTGGCTTTATGTTTACGTTCACTTACCGATTAATAGAGCCAACGTGTTTCAATGTCACACATTGGCTTTAACTATGGGGATGAGTGTAATTCACACACCCCATAGTTCTGCCTTAATTTATTGTATATTTTGGTGCATCCTATGTATAAATAATTGTAAAATAATCCCCTGCAGAAAGTAAATGTATTATATTTTCTATATCTCTGATTATTTTACCAAGATATTTTGCTGTCTTTGATCAACCCAGACAGAAAACAAGCTCACTATTTCCTGATAATCGGGTATTAATATTGTATTTTATCGTTCATAAATATTTTCCTACTTTTGATAAAAGTAGGTGGAGGCACTAAGTATTTATAAATAATAATCTGGTTCTAATACCCGACAGGTGCATTGAAAAAAGTAGGGCATGCTGCATTTTAATGCAGTGTGTTGCGACACACTACTTTGCAAGACGCTGCAGTGCATAGAGTTGAATTACATTTCATTTGTCGATTTTTAGATAAAGTTTAAAAAAGGTAAACAGTACAATGTATTGTAACAGTGCATTACACCGCCCGTACAAATTCACATCATGTTATTCTCTGTATAATGCGCATTTACTGGTGTGAATGGACCCTTAGGTGTATAGCAAAACACCAGAAGCCCAGAGATCAGCTTTACAAGGCAGCTGAAGACCTGAGCCTGCTTTTTACGTCTCAAAGTTGGGAAGCTTCCACATGTATTTGCAACTAACACACTGCAAATACTGAGGGGAATTTGTCAAAACTGGAGCAGACAAAATCTGGAACAGTTGCCCATGACAACAAATCAGCTCCTCTCTTCAGTTTGTTCAGTTAAGATTTGAAAATGAAAGAGAGATGCTGATTGGTTGTCATGCACAGTTGCTCCCGTTTTTGTCTGCTTCAGTTTTGATAAATTCCCCCCTCTTTGTGGAGAATTCATAAAATAAAAGTTTGATCCCAACTGGTGCTTTTGCCCGTAGCATACAATCAGCTAATATCTTTAATTTTTTCCCCCACACAGCTTAGAAAATGAAAATGTAAAAGCTAATTGGCTTCCCTCCAGTTGATACACTTTATACATAACATACTTATTGTACATGGCCTCAGAGAAACACAATACCTGGATTGCCCACCAATCTATAGGGTACCATGGCACACAGATCTGTCCCTATCATGACAGACCATAGGTCCCCAGTCCTCCCCTGGTAATAGCTCCTATTATACATGGCCTCAGAGAAACACCGTAACCCGATTGCCCACCTTGCCATCTATAGGGTACCATGGCACACAGAGGTCTGTCCCTACCATGACAGACCATAGGTCCCCAGTCCTCCCCTGGTAATAGCTCCTATTATACATGGCCTCAGAGAAACACCGTAACCCGATTGCCCACCTTGCCATCTATAGGGTACCTGATGGTGCACAGAGGTCTGTCCCCTACCACCATAGGCCATGTGTTTCCAGTTCTCCCCTGCTAATAGCTCCTATTATACATGGCCTCAGAGAAACACCGTAACCCGATTGCCCACCTTGCCATCTATAGGGTACCTGATGGTGCACAGAGGTCTGTCCCCTACCACCATAGGCCATGTGTTTCCAGTTCTCCCCTGCTAATAGCTCCTATTATACATGACCCCAGAGAAGCACAGTAACTTGATTGCCCATCTTGCCATCTATAGGGTACCATGGCACACAGAAGTCTGTCCCTACCATGATAGACCATATGTTCCCAGTCCTCCCCTGGTAATAGCGCCTATTATACATGACCTCGGAGAAGCGCAGTAACCCAATTGGCCACCTTGCCATCTATAGGGTACCATGGCACACGAAGTCTGTCCCTACCATGATAGACCATATGTTCCCATTCCTCCCCTGGTAATAGCTCCTGTTATACATGGCCTCAGAGAAGCACAGTAACCCAATTGCCCACCTTGCCATCTATAGGGTACCATGGCACACAGAGGTCTGTCCCTACCATGACAGACCATAGGTCCCCAGTCCTCCCCTGCTAATAGCTCCTATTATACATGGCCTCAGAGAAGCACAATAGCTGGATTGCAGCAACATGTTTCCTTCATGACAAGAATGAGGTATGCAGACCTCCCTGTCACAACAAGATCCAGGCGTACCCTGAGCTCAGATGACATGGTGCACACAAAGGCAGGGCTGCCCACCAGCCAGGAGGGTGCCTGCCATGCCCGACTCATCAGCATTGCCTGTCAATCAGGATATGAGCACTACGAAGAAAGAGCGATCACAAAAGCAGGAATCGCTTCCAAAAATAGCCACATGTCAGCTTACAAAACAAAAATTCCCCTATTTGTTTGACTATGGCCGGTGGTGCTTCCCAGGCATTCTTAGCCTGCCATTCTGCTCTAGATACGGAACTCCCCCAGAATCACTAGTGATGAGTTAGAAAGTGAAATAAAGATTGAGCGCAACCCACATTTCTTCTGATCATTTGTAGCCAGCTGGATCAGTAAGTCGCCCGGCGAGCTATAAATAGCTCAGGATGCCAGCACTGGAGCAGATTGATGAAAAGAAGTAGAGAGAAAGGCGGGGGAGGGGGCGTGCCAAATG